CTTGCAGTCTGTGAGTCAGAACAGCCGGCATTGTAGTCTACTCTACCAGGATCAGGAAACAGTCCTCCATAAAATGTACTGCACACATCTGAATATTTGGGTTGAAGTGTTCTAGAACAGCGTTGTAAATACAACTTAACCACTGATTTCTAGTCATGTCCATTTTTGGAAAGCCAAACAAAGTAGTTTCACTTTCACAACAAAACACAGCATCACACAAGGCGGCCTATAGTGAGCAGAGGCCGGAGGCTTAGAGTGAGGAACGGCCGGAGGGCTTGAGTGAGCAGAGGCAGCGGGCTTGAGAACAGCGTGGCCGGCAAATTCGACGAAGGAGCGTCTGGCGGGCTTGCGGCAACCACATGTGACGACCCCGGGCTGGACTCCGCTTCGTCCGGTAAAATATTCAAATATTCATGTGGCTAAATGATTTTAATTTTGTGTCTTCAGGTTTGATGTCCTTACCATCTGACCTCCCTCCCCTGCCAAACCTGCCTAACCTCCCAAACCTCAATCTACCGTTACCGGACCTTAGCGCTGTATCGTTAGCTGGAATCAGTGGGTTACCTCTCATTACAGCAGGTGCACACACCAAAACAATATTACAGCTTATTCTGACCAAGAATCGCCCACTTAGACGGGGTTCCTGCAGCTCCTTAAAGGGATAGTTCACCCAAAAATTATGTCATCATCACTGTAAGACCTTCCTCGTTCGTCTTCGGAACACAAAGCAAGATATTTTTGATGAAATCCGAGAGCTTTCTGGCCCTCCATAGAAATTCATAGAATTACGGTTGAACTAATGATGTCACAAGGACTATTTTAACTATGTTCTCGGTACCTTTCTGGACCTTGATCATGGTAGGACCCTTTCATGGAGAATTTTAATTTCTTAAAAAAAAACATTAATTGAAGTATAATAAAATTATTAAAACTGTACAATTAAAATGAAAACAGAAAATGTATATAAATTTTTTTTAAATAATAATAAATGTGTGATTCAACATTATCACTTGATAAGTTGGGACATGGACCAATTTCATTACATATTAAAAACTATTTATCTCGAGTATATTATTTGCAGTTCCCATTTTGCTAATAAGTAGTGTTAAAACCTTGTTGATTGTGTGCTATGGCCTGTTTAATCAAGTAAAAGAATCTGAGATTCATGATTTATTTTTAGATCTGTTCTGAATAGACGTACTGTATTAATTTTATTTGTGCGGGTCCTTAATAAGGTCTTAAAAAGCCTTTAATTAGATTTTTTAAATCCTGCAGAAACCCTGTGTAAAGTAACCAGCCATAGTGGAAAAACCTGTTTTAATTTCTGTGACTTTATTAAAACGGCTGAATATTGATGTGATCCCTCTCTGCAGGTTTGCCTCCTCTCCCTCCTCTGAACCTGCCCGGCATCTCTGCTCTGCCCATGCACACCGTTCTCCCTTCCACACTTCCCAGCATGTCCGGGGTCACGCTGCCATCTTTCCTGGCACCATCTGACCACATCCCACCCATCTCTTTAGCTGCCGGGCAAACTCCAGCGCTCACCCCTTCAGAGAAGCCTGCTGCGATATCGGCCCCTGAAAACAGACTCTGGAAGCTTGGAGCGTTCGATCGCAGTCCGGTCCATGTGGTTCGGATGCTGGCCTGACTCAGGCTCCGGGATCAGCGAGGGTTGCTAAGCAACATGACAGCACTATGTCTGGGCATAAAGTGGTTAATGATCAAGGGCGGGGTCCGGCCCA